CCCCCCCCCAAACCAAAAATCAAACTTTCTGCAATTATAATTTATAAAGACCTAATGAATCCAAAGTGAAAATCTTATTTATTATTCACGTAGAGAAATCCACAGATATTTCCAAGACTCTCCATCCTGATGATTGCAACAGCTCAGGCCTCATTAGGTGATTGAGGTTAATTAACTGTAAACTTGAGACATATTACTTCACTCTTCCATGCAGTTTCATTCAAAACATCCTAATCTGACCCAGGCAGCCCCGTTAGTCATATATTTGACACTAAAGGCACTATAAGCAAGAGGATGCAAAAGTAATGAAACTTCCCTGTGCCAGTGGAGAGATGCTGGGTTTTTTTGGAAGCGGCTGCACGCACGTGACGGAGCTGAGCTGCCGCGGCTCGCGCTTGCCGTTCGTTAAACCAGGACGGCGGAGAACCGAACCGGCTGAGACTCATCGCGCGGAAGAAATAGACGTTTTCGCGGAAGAAATATCCGAGACAATGGACGGTTATGGGCTTTCGGATGATGAGCTCTTCTCCTCCTGTCTGCTCAACTTCACCTGCGAGGATTCATCTGAGCAGGTAAGAGCCACTCCTCTCGCCTGCCTTACGATTGCTTTTATAAGCCTTTTATCACTCCTAAGTACTTTTAACAGTTTATTTTTCAGTTCTGTGAAACTATATTAAAGTGTAATGATTTTTTTTCATTTTGTGTTATGTAACGTTTAAAGTTCACTTCCAGAATGAAAATTCTGTCATCATTTACTCACCCTCCATTTGTTCCAAACCTGTATGAGTTTCTTTCTTCTGTTGAACACAAAAGAAGATATTTTGAAAAATGTTGGTATCCGAACAGTTGATGGGCACCATTGACTTCCATAGTATTTTTTTTCCTACTATAGAAATCAATGGTGCCCATCAAGTGGAGGGTGAGTAAATGATGACAGAATTTTAATTCTGGAAGTGAACTAATCCTTTAATATCGATCCTAAACACTTACCGGTAAGCAAAAAGAAAAGCGCTCGAGTTTACACTCTAAAAAATGCTGGGTTAAATACAACCCAGTGCTGGGGTTAAACATCTGTGCTGTTTGGGCTGAAAGGTTGTTTATGTTGTGAAATTGTAAAATTCGATATAACTTTACACAGAAAAGGTTAATAAGCTATTGTTACACAGTAAAATACGCATTAATGGATTATCCTAATTTACTTTCATTGTAGATGCCACACTGTAACACAGATTTTTATTTATTTTCTTCTTCTTTTTTGTTTTAAGACAAAGTTTGACAAGTCTTGAATAGTCCCAAAATGCAAATTCTGACATCAATTACTCATCCTCACATAGTTCCAACTACGGCTGCAAAGGGGTGGAAAATTTCAGAAACTTTCCAGAATTTTTGGAAAGTTTCTGGAAATTTTCTGCCCCTTTGCAACCCTATGTCCAACATTGATCAAGGTGCATATATAGAGCCTGGCAAATATGGGAAACAGAAGCTCAAATGTACTTACTAGACGCACAAGCCAGTGAGGTTTGTTCTTGTATGTTAAGCAAGCAAGCTTCAGCTTCTATTTATCATATTTGATGTGCTCTATGTATGTGTGTCAAAGTTTTGGTGCAAAGGACTTTCAGTGGAGGGACAGAAATCTCTCAGGTTTGATTAAATATGATTTAATTTGTGTTTCGAAGTTGAACAAAAGCCTTATGTGTTTGGAATCACATGAGTGGGAGTAATTGATGACATAATTTCCATTTATCGGATTGAACCCAAGTTGTATTTCTTTTTAATATAGTTCTCAAGCAGCAGATATGAGCGAAGGGTCACCAGTCACACTGTGTGCTGGACCGCCTCTTGTTTTGTCAATCTGATGCAGTTTGCTTTCATGCGATCATCAATTCACAACGTGAATGCCTCGATGAGGTTACTTGGAGATCAAACCCCTCTTCATGTCCTTGATATCAATAATGAACACAATTGACTGAATAGGAAAATCCATAGCAGCAATCACATCTATGAAATAAAAGCAAGGAGCTTCATCGTCCTGTTTTGAAAAGCAGCAAAGCGAAATGTGATTTTGGTACAAATCTACAGAGATGTAAGGTATGGATCTGTGTGTCAGACTCACTTTGACATCAGTGCTCTAGAGATATTTGAAATGAAATTGCATTTGACACATATCAGTTGAGACGTGCTGGGCAAAGTTTAAATGATGTACGAGTCTGTTGGTTGGAAAAGGCACGTGATATACAGGAGTATTGGATTGTACGATTTCATAGCGTACTTAAGACAACTTATACTGGAATGTAGTGGATGGATGAAGGCATTCAGTTGATGTTTGTGTGTTTAAGCACTTGGGAAATAAGCTGCTCACCTGAAAGTTGTGAAGTTAAGAGACAGATCTTTTTTCTTTCAAAAGCGTCAGTTTTTGTAGTTTTCCGTCATTACATTGTAAAGCGCTTAATGTGGCTTAATGTACTAAGTGCTATTAAAGGATCAGATTTAGTATACACCTGATTAATGATGCATAATTTATACAGGCAAGCAGATGAGCCCAGAAACTGTCTGAATTGCACTTTAAGCATTTTCTTTATAATGGTTTTCTATGGGAAGATGCTTTACGTGGAACTTTGTGTGTTGCGTTCATATTCTGGGTTCATCTGTTTGCCTGTACATATCTGCTTTATTAATAAGCTGTTCACTGAATTTGGTTCTTCCACTGTATTAATGCATTAAGCCACATGAAGCATTTTCTTTATAATGGTTTTCTATGTGAAAATGCTTAGCGTGCAATATAGTGTGCGTTGCGTACATAGTCTGGGCACATCAGTGTGCATGTATATATAGCATGCATCATCAGTAAAGTCTATACAGAGTTTGGTCTTTATATTGGACTTGCCAAAATGTAACATGCCATATGATTGCACCATCAATAACCCCCCAAGGATTCACTGTTTAATTGGTGTTCAGCCCTAAATGTAGAAAGGTAATTAAAAACCAGAAATGCTCCTCATTTCGAACCCAATTGCTGGGTTTGTCCCTATTTTACCCAGCACTGGGTTGTATTTAACCCAGCATTGTTTAGAGTGTACTTCACAAGGCCTTAAAACTGATCGCAAATATTTTGGTGGCAAGGTGAAGATGCCACACCTTTACTGAAAGTTGTTTGAAAATGCTGTCTTTATGTAATAAGTACAAATATAATGATATAGCTGAACTATTTCCATGAAGTTCTCATGCACCAGAGAAACAAGTGTGCAGCCATTTTTATTTACAATGTTGTCTTTGAACTTCTGTGTTTGCAGTAGCTCTGTATATTTCTATGGCGTTGCTGTCAAAGAGTAATTAGCTGGTGAAGTGGGTTTACTTTTTGTAGTCAACGAAATTTATCATGAGCATTGTAATTTATGAAGCAGATGTCATAACAAATGTCAGTAGCCTTGGAAGATTTTAAAATGAGCAGTTCGTTCATGAATCCGTAAGATCTTACCTTCATGCTGTGGAAATACAAACCAGATGACAGAAGACAAACACGGTTACAGTCGATGTAAACACAGCCAATCCATTAATGTTAAAATACACAGTCAGCCAGTTCAATATTAGGCTATATACGTGCTGACATGTTACTAGTGTTAGTGTAGTTGAATCGCATACTAACCTTGTCTGTATAAAGTTATGCATCCAATATAATTTCATTGTCAAAACGCAAATAAAGCTGGTTAAACCTGGTAATTGCACAATGTCCGTGAGGGAGGATGACGTAACTTCCTTGTTTCCATTGATCTGATAGTTTACTAAGCCCTTGACTGAAATAGCAGAAGAATATAATCTTGCCTCCTTCCAGTTGCCTGTGTGCATTCATAATTGTCTGACGAGGAAACCCAGCCAAAAAGTCCCATCAAGTCGTTACCGGAGACCAGATACGTGACAACAGCGCCCAGAGAAATGACACTGCTGACAATGAACTAGAAGTTAGAAGTTATAACTAGAATAAGTGACAGTCTATACACCTATGTGTCAAATAATAGACATTTCTGCAGAAGAGTTAACAGAAATATGAGCAAAAAAAATTTGGCACAATGTAATTCTACTACAAGTGCTTTTTGGCCTTATTTTTGTTAAAATCAGAACTGTGAAAAACAAGAAAATATTGTGGATAATAATTGCTTTTTTTAGTCTCAATAACATTGAGTTTCCCTTTTTGCTAACAATGTAGACAAAAGATTGTGTTTATGCAAATTAATCTTGAACTACTAATAGTCAGTGCTCTGAATCACATTGCTAGTGTGCAAATAATAAAAAAGTCAAATTTGAACATGCCACATGATTGCACCATCAATAACCCCCAAAGGATTCACTGTTTAATTGGTGTTCAGCCCTAAATTTAGAAAGGTAATTAAAAACCAGAGATGCTCCTCGTTTCCAGAACTTCCAGAGCCGATTATGCTGCTAATGCACTGAGCTCCTTCACTGTCCACGTGCAAGCAATCCGCCGCTGGGACCCACCCAATGGGCTGAAAGCTTCCCAAAAATGCTTTTCCCTGAAAAAAGGTTGACGAGCTAAAGAAAGAAAAACTTTAAAGTGTGAGAGAGCGCGCTTTTGCCTTCTGCTGCCTTTTTCCTCCTGTCTCGGATGGACTAGAAAAATAAATAAATAAAAATAAGTGCAATGTTGACACACTGTGTCCTTGTGGCCAGATTATCCACTCATGCCTGAGCAGTGGGTAAAGCCTCTGCATTATTCAGTCAGCTGTGCGTGGCATGCTGGGGCTGAGAGAGAGACGTGGAGAAATGCTGGGAGTTTCTCTCAGAGTGAGGTTCACTAGTTTAAGTTGGACTTCCTGTGCTTGCAGCGCAGGAGGGATGACAGGTTCATTTATGAAGTGTGCTGTATTCTCTGGGGAAGCTCAAGTTTTGTTAGTGAGTAAAGCGTTTTCAAGGCCGTTGCCGCCTCTGCTGGAGCGCCTCTTGAGGCTGCTGTCCAAGGTGCTGAAATTTTAATATTAAATTTCACATGTGCCTTAGAAACAGTTGTCAGCCGTTCTGTACTCTTAAAAACTACATGTTCATTTTTTGCAAGTGTCCTGCATGTGGCCTGACAGTCTTTCAAGAAGCGGACACAATGGAAGGCCTTATACTTTGTTTAGCTTTCATCTTGCTATTCTTGTTCATTTACTCTATACCTGTTTCTTAAAAAGACTTATGTGAACAAGGCATTAATACAACTTTATGATTCAATAAGGTTGCAGAAATACAGATATATTTGCTCTTTGTTTTATTTTTGTTAGTATGTATATTTTTTTAATCATAGCCATTTTTTTACAGCAAATGGTATACACTGACATTTTTTACTTTGAAGCAATTTTCACTCAGAAATTGCTAGTAAATTTCACAAATAATTGTAAAAAAATGCAATTAACACATTGAATTAAACATGAAAATTTGCCAGTGTTTACTGTTATACATAAGATGTATAATAATTTAATAAACACATGTATTTAATTTATAAAAACATTTATTACATTGCATTTATAATTCATATAAATTAACATAGCACTATAAAATAAGAATACACTGGGAAAAAAAAATGGTATGGAACAATTTGCACTCAGAAATTGCTAGTAAATTTCACAAATAATTGTAAAGAAACTACAATTAACACATTGAATTAAGCATGAAATGTTGACATACATTTTCTTTTAAAACATACACCAAGAATTCTTATTTACAACTTTGAAAAATATTTGTTGCAGTGTAGAATAAACTGAATTCTGCATAATTGTTAATTTTTTATGATTTATTTATACATTTGAAAGATACATGGAAGCCCGTTTCTGCCACTAAATAAAAAAGGTAATAGTGACTTTTTATCTCACAATTCTGATTTTTCTCACAATTGTGAGTTTACATCTCACAATTCTGACTTTTTTTCTCAGAATTGCGTGATATAAACGCGCAATTGTGTTACAAAGTCAGAATTGTAAGAGATAAACTCGAAATTGAAAAAAAGGTCTCTTTTTCCTCAGAATTGGACTTTATAACTTACAATTGTGAGTTTATATCTAACAATTCTGAGAAAAGAACTCAAAATTGTGGAAAAAAAAGTCAAAATTGTGAAATATAAACTTGTAATTACGAAAAAAAAAAAAAGTCAGAATTCTGAGATGTGAATGCAAAAAGTCGCTATTACGTTTTTTTTTATTCAGTGATGAAAACGGGCTTCCATAGGATACGTTACAAAGGGAGAAAAAAAAAAAGACAACAGAGAAAATAATCACTCAAATAATAATAATAGTAATAGTGAGCAAACACACTAAAATACACTATAAATATAAATACACTAAAAAACGAGAAAAGGAAAGAAATACATTCTGAGTACAATCTCACATAACTACAATCCTACATTACATTAATCGAGCAATACAGAATTGGTAAGTACATAAAGACTAGATATAAATAATTAATTTATGCATTTAGCAGACACTTTTATCCAAAGCGACTTACAGTGCATTCAGACTACACATTTTTTACCAGTTTGTGTGTTCCCTGGGAATTGAACCCACAACCTTTTGCACTGCTAACGCAATGCTCTACCACTGAGCCACAGGAACACAATATGATTTGTCATACTGTCCACTCCAATTTTGTAAAGTAAAGAACATCCCTCACTGACAGAGTCAGAAATGACCAGCAGAGTCAGAAAGGCTACGAAGTTTGAAGAATGCTCTTTATGTTCATTTTATTTCAATATTATAACAGAGCATTCTTAGCTATTGAAGTGTTCATAATAAGCCGCTCAGTATCTCTCATCATCAGATCATGTTGTCAAATAGAGGTCCACAGGTGCCTAACCAAAGTGTCTTTCAGCTGAAATCATCTCATCGTAGTGTCTTTTTTTTTGTGCCATATTGCCGTGCCATGCATGAATGCCTGTCTAATCAGACTCCTCAAAAGAGCTGCGGCATGTTCACTGCTGACCTGTTAAACATCTTTTTGTGTCTGTCTGCAGTGTTCGAACTATACCGTGGACTTTGGGGGAGCCCTCTTGTTTTTTTTTTTATAACGGGGGGGGGTTTGTGCGCTTGCACGTGCCTCAAGAGGGCTTACAATGATTTACAAAGATACATAACAGCTACAAGTTGAGTTAACATGTACTAAACATGAGTGGAATTTGCACCGCAGCGCCCCCACACCTTGATGCTCATGGCAAGAATAGCATGTATAGTTATCTTTATTGAAGTGAATTAGGTTTAAATCGCCGTCATGAATGAATGAATGATATTTTTGCTATTTTACACATAATAATCCACGATGATCACATTACACAAAACTGAAATTGCACGTCAAAATAACACATTGTCAATATTTTTTGAGACCCCCCAAAATTTCACAAATCACGTTTTCAGGGGAGCCCATGTCTTATTAAGGGGAGCCGAGCTCCCCCTAGCTCCCCCGTAGTTCGCACCCTGTCTGTCTGAATTGTTTGGTGTGTGTAGCATGACAGTCTGAGCACATAGCAGATGATCTAGAGATGTTATAAGAGCACAGAAGAAACAGACTGCTGAATTATTCGCTTTCAGTCAATCCACAAGTGCTTGAATTAGAAAATGAAAAAGTATTTTATGTTTTAATGTCAACAATAAATATATACAATACCATTCAAAAGTTTGGGATCAGCAAAAAAAAAATATTTTTTTAAGAAGTCTCTTAAGCTGCATTTATGTGATCCAAAATATGATAACAACAGCAATATTGTGAGATATTATTACCATTTAAAATACTGTTTTTCCATTTTAATATACTTTAAAATATGATTTATTGCTGTGATCAAAGCTCAATTTTCAGCATCATTACTCTAGTCTTCAGTGTAATATGCTGATTTATTATCAATGTTGGAAACAATTTTTGATGTTTCATATGTTTTTGGGGAACCTGTGATACTTTTTTCAAGATTCTTAATAAAAGAAGAAGAAGAAGAGCATTTATTCAAGATATAACTCTTGTGTAACAATATTCACTGCCGTTCAAAAGATTGGGGTCAGTACATTTTTTTTTCAATTAATACTTTTATTCAGCAAGGATGTGTTAAATTGATAAAAAAAAGTGATAGTAAAGATTTAGTAAAAATTGGAGGATCACGTGACACTGAAGACTGGAGTAATGGCTGAGGAAAATTCAGCTTTGCATCGCAGAAATAAATTCTATTTTAAAATATGTTAAAATAGAAAACCATTATTTTAAATTGTAATAATATTTTACGATATTACAGTTTTTTTCTGTATTTTTGATCGAATAAATGAAGCCTTGATGAGCAGAAGAGACTTCTTTCAAAAACTTTTTGTGTAGATACATTGTTGTTTTGTTGATATTAAATACTAAAACGTTTAACATTTTACAACTTATACTTAACTACTGATGATTTTAGCCACTATATTGCACCTTAAAACATCTATGCATCAAAAAGTTACCAGTTTATATAATATTTCCACAGTGAGCAGCAGAAAACTCTGACTCGCTCACGTTCAGGTCAGTAGGTTTGATGCTTGTCCTTCAAAATATCAGGGCTTGTTACAAGAGAAAAGCAGCAGCAGTATTATGAGCTTGAGGATACCTGTGTGTTGTCAGTACAGAGGGCATGTGTTTGATGACCGTTTACTCTAAAGCTGATAATCGGCTCTTAAAACCGGCATTTTACATCTATGAAGCACAAAGAGTATCATCTCAACAGCACCTTAATTGCTCTCTGTAAGTTCAGGGTATGTTTGTGTGTGTCTGTGTATGTTTGTGTCTGTACTGCTGTTGCTATTGAGACGCTCATCACATGTCCACTTTATAAGACAATACCACCATTAGGTGAGTTGGAGAACTGTAACTGCTGCTTTATACAGAAAATAAAGCAATTACTGGGTTATAATATAGAGTATTTTCCATGAATTAATAAATGGTTATCAGGAGTGTGGCATTTTTCTGATCAGATTTGTTTTTCAGATGTTTGCTTGATTATTTCATGTTGCTTCATAAAAGAATATAATGCAAAAAAATGTTAAAATGTTGTTGATAAAAGGTACCTGAGTATAAAATATAAGTACTTTGATGCTTTTTAAGAGTCCTTCAAAAAAAATCTGTTTGTAATATAGTGAAATATTAGCGATATGTACACACACACACAAAAAATTGTTCAAGGATGCATTAAATTGATCAGAAGTGACAGTAAAGAGATCTATAATGTTACCAGAGATTTCTCTTCCAAATAAATAAAAAGTTTAAAAGAACAGCATTTATCAAAGAATTTTACATTTATCAGACACTTTTATCCAAAGCAACTTACAGTGCATTCAGGCTATACATTTTTTTTTACAGTATGTGTGTTCCCTGGGAATTGAACCCAAGACCTTTTGCGCTGCTAACGCAATGCTCTACCACTGAGCCACAGGAACACATGTTTTTGCACAAACAAAATTTTATCAAGAATTTTATAAAAAAAACAAACAAAAAAAACGTATCACGGTTTCCATATAAATATTATGCAGCAACAGTTATAGTTAACTAAAACTAAATTTATTTGAAACGAACATTAAATGAATTAAAATATAAAAAAAAAACATGAATTATTTAAAAAACAATACAATATTTTATTTTGGCTAGTTGCTTAACTTGAGTTACTGAAATAACTAAAACTGAAATAAAAATGAATAAAAACTATATTTAAATAAAAACTAAAGAATTACAAAATGAGAAAACCACACAACAAAATTCCCAAAACATTAACTAAACTTAAACTGAACATGTAAAAATAAAAACTAATTCAAAATTAATAAAAAAAAATAATAAATACGTATATTTAAAGAAACTACAGAATAAAAAATGACAAAACCAAACAACAAAATTACTAACATTAACTAAAATAAACTGAACACGGAAAATGTAAAAAAAATACTAATTCAGAATATGAATTTAAAAATATAGTAACTGTAAACGATTAAACTGTAATCATATTTCACATTAATACTGTTAAATAATTGCTGTCTTTTTTGAGCATAAGACACTTCTCTCATAAGAACTTTAAATGTAACATTAAAAAAAAACGTAACTATTCCAAGCTTTTGAAATTTTTTTTTTATATTGGTAGTTAGATTACTAATATATATATCTTTTTAAAAATATTAGTCTATCTTATTTTTATCGTTATTGTTAGTATTTATCATGCTTAGGGTATAGAATCTAATTTTATGAAACAACTAATGACTTAACATTTGGAAATCTAATCAAAATAATGGGTCAAGAATGAGATGTTAATCACATCTAAAATGATTTCAGGTTCATTCATCACAAGTCAAGCGCAATGCACCGTGAGATACAGATACAACATTCGCACAGTAGATGCAGTGAGAGTGGTATGGTAGTATGTTATTCTGAACATCCAGTGCTTTTTACTATAGTTTTTCTGCTCAGTTACTCATTCAGTGAGATTTAGAGACCTGCAACTACTGTCCGACCACCTTTATTTATTCTTTTCCTAACTTAGCCCATCAATTAACATCAGTGGGATTCAGCAGATCAGCAAGTATTGCCGCAGTCCAGGCTTGTTAAGTCCGACTCTGTGGGGCTTTGATCCATAAGACTGGGTAATGCTGCACACAAACACACAGGACGCTTGACCCGGTCTGTGCTCTCTCTCTCTCTCTCTCTCTGTGTCACATACTGAATCCCCCTTCAGCAGAAAGAGAGTCGGCTAATTGAGACCTGCAGACCTGCAGGGAAAATGGTCTTCTCAAGTTATTCCACGTCACTTCCTCTGAGTCCTCAGCACAATCCAGCCCGTCTGTCCTTCTCCATTAACTCCGTCGCATGCAAAACCAGGCGTTTGTAAGATGGATAGCATGCCTTTAAGTCAAAACAGCAAATTGGTACTCATGTTCGGTCTTTCACACGTTTCTAAATGAACGTCGTGGCTAAAAACAATGTGGAGTGGAGCGCATCATTCAGACAAGACAGCTGGTGCTTTGCATGTTGTTATATTGTAAATAAACGCAGCGGCAAAGGCAGATTAATATGATCTGAGTGTAATAAGATGGTTTATGGCACTCGCCGGCCCTAGAGGCCAATAGTAAAAGTCATGGCAAGCTGTCGAAGGCAAGGCTAGAGGCCTGTTTAACCGAGTGAGCTTGAATGCGACGGATTGCAGACGAGCACTCGGGCACACTCTAAAAAATGCTGGGTTAAATTCAACCCAGTGCTGGGTAAAATAG